TGAACCGACAGATGATGTGGAAAGAAAATGGGCAACCTTTCTAAGCTGTAGAAGGGATGCATCCCTTCTGATCAATGAAAAGATTAGAAGGAAGGGAGCTCAGTGGCTGGCAGAAGTACATAAAAAAGATAGAAAGGCAGCTGCGAAATTTTGGAACCATTTAAACTCCCTAAGAAATGAGACGAGCCTAGAGCAGAACTTTATAACTACAGCCCAAGGTGCTAGGCTAGAAGGGGACGAAGCTATTGAATATATAAGAACAAGGGTGACAGAAAAATTTCAACAAAGAAGTACTTTATGCACCACAATAGACAAAGACGAATCAAGTGGTGCAATGGCTCCATTTTCACAACAAGAGTGGGAAAGGGCTGAGAAAAGGGTTCCTAGTAGTACATCAACAGGCCCAGATGGCATTCCAATTAGGCTGATAAAAACATTAGGTCCGAAGTCTAAGCAGGCTTTGAGAGAGGCAGTGAGTACAATAATAATCGATGGTGAAGTTCCCGATGGATGGAAACTTAGCAGGATGAGCATGATCTATAAAGGAAAGGGGGACAAAGCTGACATAAACAACTACCGTCCTATAACAGTGACATCAGTGGTCTACAGGCTGGCGATGCAGATTATAAAGGAAAGACTGCAGGCGTGGATAGAGGATGAGGGGGTGCTGGGGGAACTGCAGAATGGGTTTCGGAAACACAGGAGGTTGGAAGACAATCTGTTCTCACTGACGCAGTGCATCGAAATAGCAGAAAAAGAACACAGGCCCCTGTGGCTAGCATTTTTGGATATCAAGGGAGCGTACGATAGCGTGGTTCAAGAGGAATTGTGGGGAATACTGGACACACTAGGCGTGGAACATGTAGTCACTAATCTTTTAAAGGGTGTCTATAAAGGTAACAAGGTAGTTATAAAGTGGGAAAAAACAGGTATCCAAGCCGGCAGAGGTAAAACGGGGGCTTAGGCAGGGGTGCCCCCTGTCACCCTTATTATTCATGATGTACCTACAAGGATTAGAGGCAAAATTAGAGGGAAGTGGACTGGGCTTCAACCTCTCTTTAGTCAAACAAGGAAAACTTATTGATCAGGCACTACCAGCATTAATGTACGCAGATGATATAGTGCTAATGGCCAACAACAAGGAAGATTTGCAGAGATTGATGGACATCTGCGGTAATGAGGGAGATAGGTTAGATTTTAGATTCAGTAGGGAAAAATCAGCAGTCATGATTTTCAATGACAACGAAGGTAGTGAGCTTAGAATACAGGAGGTCACGCTAGAGATAACAGATAAATACAAATATCTGGGCGTACGGATAAGCAACGGGGCCGAGTACCAAAGGAAACACGAAATATACGTGACGACTAAAGGTGACAGGAACGCAGCGGTAACGAAAAACAGGGCACTGTGGAATTACAATAGGTATGATGTTGTGAGAGGAATATGGAAATGGGTCATGGTTCCTGGTCTGACGTTCGGCAATTCCGTCTTGTGCATGAGATCAGAAGTTCAAGCAAGATTAGAAATTAAGCAACGTGGAATAGGTAGGCTTGCTTTAGGAGCTCACGGGAATACACCAAATCAGGGAGTACAAGGTGATATGGGATGGACATCATTTGAGGGCAGGGAAGCTAGCAGCAAGATAAAATTTGAGAAGCGATTGAGAGAAATGGGGGAAGAGCGTTGGGCTAGGAACGTTTTCAGCTACTTGTACATGAAGAATGTCAATACAAAATGGAGGAAGCGAACCAGGAAGTTGACTGGTAAATACTTAGTAAACCGCAGGTGGCCAAACCAAAAAGAACTATCGGTTAAGAAAAAAGTGAAGGAAACGGAGACTGACATGTGGAGAATGGGCATGATTAAGAAGTCCGCACTAGAGATCTATAGAACTTTTAAGCAGGAAATTGCCAAGGAAAGGATCTATGATAATACTCGGGGTAGTTCTCTACTGTTTGAGGCCAGGACGGGAGTACTGCGAACCAAGACATATCGGGCCAAATACGAAGGGGTCGACACAGTATGCAGTGCGTGTGGAGAGGAAGAAGAAACTGCCGAACACTTGATAATGTTCTGTAAAGGGCTTCACCCTATAGTTCAGGATGATGGCGCAGAGTTTTTCAAAGCACTGGGATTTAGGGACAGCGAGGGCAAAATAGACTTTAAGCGGGTAGACTTAACTAGAAGGAGGTTATCTGATTGGTGGCTAAAGTCAAGGCACGAGTGAAAATTAAACCCTTCACTGCGAAGTACGAATCCTCAACTTCATTATTTAAAGGGAAAAAAAAAGATAAATGTAATGGTTAGTTCACTAAGTATTACGGCTAGGTGGCGTTAGCCGCCGCCCGATCTAAAGGGTACAGCCACATCCATCCATCCATCCATCCGGTGAAAAGATGCAAGATGTTATAAACTAGACGGCGGTACTTGTAGTTGATGATGAAAGATGCGAGATGTTATAAAATAGGAATGATGTCACATATGGCACGTGTCATTGGTGGAAGGCAATCGTTCGATTTAGTGCGGCGACGTACGCTAGGGGGAGCATTGTATTAAAATCGAGTAGGCAAAATGTACGGAAGATTCATGGTTTACCAGGTTTTCCTCCAGAGCTTCGTCCACTCATCATCATTCACTTCGTGGATATGGCGGCACTTTTTATTTTACTGCCTTTCAACTTTTTGTTTTAAAGTTGAGTTTACGTTTCGTGTTTGGTATACGGCGGAGGTCTCTGCATATTTTAACAACAAAAAAGAAAGAAAGAGAGAGAGACAGAAACGGTGGCCGACAGACCACTTCACACAAGAGTGATGATCGAGACTATCTGTTTTTTTTTTCTTGTCGTGTACTACACATCCCTAACAAATTAGGAACGCACTGATAGTAGTGGACCAACACGGCCAAAGTATCAGTGAGCTCCGAACCCGATAAATCTCGATACACAGTGCCAGTTAGAGTGACGCACAAATAAAATAAAGAGGCGCGAGTTTTAAGTGACCCGTTCAAACATGCATGGATCGCATCGAGTCGCGCGTGGGAGGAAGGAATCACCTGCCGCTCTTTCATCGGGCGCCGCCCGTATCCGCACCTATACGCGGCACCGGTTTCTGTTCCAAGTTGGTCCGCGCGCTTAATCTCGTTACTTGCTTACATTTGAGAATCGCGCGCTGTGAGAAAGAAAAAAAAAGAGAGAGAGACAAAAAAGTAAATAAAGAACGCGGGTAAAGATGAAAGAAACAAACAGAGAAAAAGGCTTCCGCTTGCGTAGCAGCAGCAGCAGAAGACGACGTATACGACGCTTCAAACCGTTAAGAAGTCGGCGCGGAAGACTCGGGGCGGAATCAGAAGACGAAAATATCGCAGAACGGACGGGCGTTCGTATTATGCGGGGTGTTTGTATGAGCCGGGAACGAAGCGGCTTCGTGGATCCCGACTTGTTTATTCATGTGCTTCTCTCCGAGAATCTCTTTCCTCCCAATTTCGTTTTAACGCCGAAAAAAAAAATATCGACACGATGAAAAAAAATGATGAAATAAGGGTATTAGAACAGAGGCTTCGAAATGGGGGAAGAGAGGGAGGGCAGGGGCAAAAGGGGAGAGGGCAGCGGTGCCAGACATCGTCTTCTTTCAAAAGGACAAACGGTGCGGAACACAAATCTTCCTTAGAAAAAATTATAATACGAAAGGGGAGGAGGACGCGGACGTGCAGATTCGAGCTCTCTGTAAGCCACGCGCGCGAACGCCGTGAAAATGAAACGGAAAAATACATAAAAAGAAATAATCGCGTCAAAGATATATACGGAGTCAGAGCCAGCCAGGCATGCATGGCAGTGCGAGCGATGCACGGGGGGGGGCGGCTGGTAAGTGAACGAGGCACCCTCCTTACCATTTTTCTTTTAACTTTTCTTCCTCTCGCGCGATACGAGATCGCCGTAATCAGATAAGGCGAAGAAGGGGTCAAAGAGCGGCCGGCGGAGAATCGGTTCTTTTTCGCACACAGCTCCGCTGAAGAAAGCGCGTCTCGCAACGTTTAAAGACGGATATTTCACGCACACATGGCTCGCGCTGACGTCACGGAAACCGCCATGTTTGGCTCACCACATGGCACACGCCATGTTCCTAAAGCCGCGCGTTAATGTTATCGTTACATCACTCACAGTATGTTTTTTTTTAGTATTGTCAGGCAGAGGCCAATAAAATTCAGGCCACATCGTTATACCATATTGAAGCAGATCAAGCGCGATGCGGTATAGTGCTGCCTCTATACGTCATCAATGCCGCCATACTAGTGAACAAGTGCGTCATGCAGCGTCACGCGTAGGCTACCTGTATACAACACGGACGACATTATACGTCGATACATGGGCGCTGCCACGTTGGACTGCTTTCAAACGAACGTTTTATTCCCTTTGATACATCGGGACGCGATTTTACCAAGGTTATGAAACGCTAAAGGCCCCCAATCCATCTGTTTTTGACGAAAGAACATCTACCGCAGCACTGGCCGTTTAGCTGGTAAATATACCACAAAACGGCAAAGTGAACAGCCAAACATGGCAGCCCGAAGAAGGCCGCACATGCTGAACACATTTAGTGGTTACTTACAACTAACGGTGAAGTGAAAAGTATACCAACCCTCCCCCCCCCCCCGCATAAGCGTGCACACCAGCTGGGCGGGGGGGGGGGGGAAAGGGGCGCCTAGTCACCCAAGAATGGAGGGGGGGGGCGCAAAGTTTGCCCCATACACTGACCTACTAGGAAGGAGACGCAGCGACAGATATTCAGCCCCCCCCCCTCCTTCGAAGGCTAACCATTGTGATGTAATTTTTTATTTACATTTTGATGCGCACGCCCATAATTGAATATACTACACGCGCCCCTAAACACTGCAGAATCACTAAAGCGTCGTAGCACCCTGAAGAATGGATCAAGTCAATCTGGTTCTCAGCGATGCGCTTTTTTTTTCTTAATGACGAAGGGGCCGACGTGCATGTACTCACCGACCAACGCCAAGATGACCGTCAGCAGCGGCCCAGCCGGGAAGTTGATGGTCGAGTTGAACTCCAGCATGTGCAGCAGCTCAACTGCAACAAAAAAGCGAAAGCAAAAAAAACAAACGCGCTGGAGCTCACTATCTATCGTGCGACTAATTCGTGAACCACGAGTATGCATACACTTTGCACGACTGGTAACAATAAAATCTGGGGGGTCTTATGTCCCAAAACCACGATATGTTTATGAGAAACGCCGTAGTGTCAAACTCCCGAAATTTCGACCACCTGGAGTTGTTTAACGTGCGCTGTCATCGCACAGTGCAAGGGCTTCAACCATTACGGCTCCCATTGAAATGCGACCGCCAAGGCCGCCGGGATCGAAACCGCGTCCTTCGGGTCCGTAGCCGAGCCCTATAACCATGCACTGTTTCATCGTTGCACTTCTCCAAACGGATCAAGTGTCGCCTTAATTCGCAAGAAACACGTAAACGGTTATTGAACGATTGATTAATTATTATGCGAGGTTCAACGTCCCGACACCAGGGTATGCTTATGAGGGACGCTGATTGATTGGTTGATTGATTGATTCATCCACTATGTACTCGCAATAGTGTCTCATCAAGGTTAAATCGCTATTGTTGGTTACACAGGAGAAATATTTGGTTCAGGCCATCCGTGGGTAACTTATCCAGCGGAAAAAAAGCCAAGATGGTATTTTCGAAAGAAGGGTTTTTTTTTTTTTCTTGGCTAGTCTTCCTCGGTGTTCTCTTTTTTTCTGTTTTTCTTCGAAGCTCCATCCTAAGTTTGTAGCTGGGCCGGCAGCTTCGTATGTCGTACGTTCACATCCCTTTCCGCTGATTAAAATGTCGAGACTTACGCGCCGGCCCCACATTTTTACGGTGAGCGCGACCGATTTCGTCCGCTCCAGTGACGGCGAAACAAGAGCTGCCATACGCTTTTTTTTGTGTGTGGAATTAGAAAAGGAAGAGCAGGGAACAAAAGAAGCAAACAGCGTCGACGGAACGTCGCCGCTAAAGAGACGAGCGGCCGGATGATTTGAACGGCCTGCCGAGCCAAACTGACCGGCGTCGAAACACAATCAAAAAAGAAAGCTTTCCCGCGTCTGTTCCTGTATTGCACGTAAAGTCACCGCGTCGTTGCATTTTCTCAGTTGTGCCAAAATGTGGCACCTGCGGCACACCACAGGCGCAGATAACGTGCGCCCAAACAACTCCACCCTTCTTCCCCTCATGCTTTTTTTTCTGGTGCACGAGAAACGCCCCTCCCCCCCCCCCCTTCCCCCAGGAAAGGTCCTTCGTTTACCGAAACTCGCTTGGCCCGTAAAATCCTGTTTGAACTTGGATCTTTTGGCTTCTCGGGACGAGTAGTCCTACTTTAGTCTTGCGCCAGAAAAACGAGCAACGTGGGCCGAAAAAAAAAAAAAAAAAAAACACGCGAGCCATGCAAGTACCGTGGTCGACTGCGCGTTCCAGTCAGGGATTTTTTTTTTTTCTCTCTTCGCAGTTGTTATTTCTACTCCATACGCAATGCTGCTCCCTTCTTTTCGTGTTTTGGCCCCGTGTTTTTCATCACCGATGCAATCTGAATTCCGAGTTCCTCACCGAACCTTATCCGTCTCGTCGTACCCATACCATTTTGTACGCTCGAAGCGAGCAAACGAAACGCAAGGAACGACATTAAAAGCGAAGAACACGAAGACCACAGGCGTACGAACAGAAAGAACCACATCTATAATACGACTAAATAAAGAGGGCAAACACCAAGGACGTAAGAAACACATGGAAAAACCAGAAACGGAGCCTGTCGTCCATTGAAAAACCGGAGCGGGGATTAGATGCGCAAAGCGAGCAAGACACACACGGCCGAAGCCGAGGGACGGAAGACACGCGACAACTGCGCAACGACGAGAACCAAGGAACATGGCGGGGCCGGCGGCATCTCCATGCTGTAGTGGCACACAATTTTTTTTTGCTCCCCAAGAAGCAGTGGTTCTTATTTTTCTTCCCGCCTCTCCCGCCCCTTCATTCCTTCCATGTTGGGCACCCAGAGACAAGATTTCCCTTTTTTTTTCTCGTTTATTTCGTTTTCCCGGTTTCCGCAAACCCTCCTCTCCCACCTTCCGTTGCTTTTCCTTGGTTACTGAAAGAGAGAGAGGCCAAGAAAGAGAGTGGAAGAGAGGCTTAATCAAAAGCCGTACTAAATCATTCCGACGCGGAGCAAACGGGTTATTTATTTACACAGCGGCCCCTCGACAGAGCTCGCTCCATCGCCCTCCTTTTTTTTCCCCTCGCTCCCTCTTCTTCAACGATGGCTCAGAACCCAACGAGAATCCTACGATTCGGAGCATCCTTCCTCTTCTGCAGCTTTACCACCACCACCACCACCCCTTTCCAGACGCCATCTTTATTTGTTTACTTAGCTTCTTTTGCCTCACGTTAAAAGGAAGCTGCCATGCTTGATTCCGTTGCTGCGTCAGCAAAGCGCAAGCCCAATCTCCCCGTGTGCCCCTTCTCCCGATTTGTCCCGTCCGAAAACTAAAGCAGCAATAAAAAAAAAAGAGCTGAGGGTGGGTGGGCTACGTGTGACCAAAAGATATCACTAAACTGGGACGGACCGCGCGTCATGATCTGCGAAAAAAAAAATGTATCCACAATGGATTAGCAAATTAGCCGACGCTTCGCTTCAATCGCATTTGGAGAAGCACGCACTGCTGCGCGATATCGTAATTCGTCTTGGGCCCAGTGTTGCGCAAAAGAACAATAACATGGAGAAAGGAACACGAAACACGGCGCGAAATGTCAACTCAGATTCTATTGAAACAACGGACATACACGTCTGCGCTTAGATGAACTCGTGTTAAATAAAAGAACAAATAAAAGAATCCCTTGAGCTGACAAGGACTGTCTCAGTGTACCACTTCCAAAAAGTCAAACTCATGAAAAGGAATATAGACAACCACCCGTTCGTAGCACGACGCCACAAGGAAATCCGTACGGATTTCTAAGAAAGAATTAAGACTTCCAATAGTTGCCGAAAAACTCGTTCTGGTACGGGGGTTCGAACACGGGACCTACGCCTTTTCGCAGGGCGGTCGCTCTATACCAATTGAGATAACCATGAAGCTACAACTCGAAGCACATGCACACAAGTTATGCAAATGAGTTCTTCGGAACGCTGCAAGGTGGCGGAAAGGTTAGGAAAAAGACAAAACAGACAACCAACTGTGTGCGGCAATAAGCCGCAATAAGGCACAAGGCTTCTTACTATTAACAGGCGATTGTCTATTGCCCCCCCCCCCCCCTTTCTTTACCCTTTTGTCACCTTGCGGGATTCCTCAGAACTGATTTGCAATTAAGTCTAACTCGACGGCAAGTAACGTAACAGCGGGCGGGTTTCGCGACACGTGAGTCACCTGCTTTGATTACGACATACGCTCCTTCGATTTCGCGCGCTACCCTATCCTTCAATGTAGATTTCACTGTCGTATCACCTGCAAACAAAGGTCAGAACATGACTGTCCCTTTGATGATATGCGGGGTTTAACATCCCAAAACCACCATATGATTATGAGAGACGCCTAGTGAAGGGCTCCGAAAATTTAGACCACCTAGGGTCCTTCAACGTCCACACAAATGTGAGCACAGGGACCTACAGCATTTTCGCCTGCATTGAAAATGCAGCCGCCACAGTCGGTATTCGATCCCGCAACCTGCGGGTCAGCAGCCGAGTACCTTAGCCACTAGAACACCGCGGCGGGGAATGACTGTTCCTTTTAGCGAAGCTTTATGAACCAATAGCCGGTTATACCTGACACAACGCCCGGTTTCCCACACGAAAGCGGATTATCGCAGCAGATATTTCGTCGCACGTGTTTCGTGCGTCGATTCATAACGACGGTCATCACCCTAATACCCATCGCGATAGCAGATGCATTTTTAAATCTATATCAAATAAAGAGAGCTATAGTGAACACGGACACACGTAAACGTTTGGGCTAGTACGTTTAACGTGTCATGACCACGGTAATTTCAATATTACGACACAGATAATGGGCAAAATCAGTCCGAGATGGCGGCGTTTATGAATCTAAAATAATATCGGGTTAAAAGCAGCGATTTTCCTGAAAAAAAGTTGGTTTTGCACAACAATTTTGGCATTGCACAGGTTTCCCCATCAGGTGAAGTCAAATGACACGAAAATGATACAATATTCCACAATGTTTTACAATAAATAAATAAATAAAAACTAGTAAATAAATTGAAGCGAAAAGGTGATTTTCACGATGCCCCCCTCCCCTTTTGTACTACATGGTTTTCCGCGAGTACAGAAAAATTAGGGTGGGCAGCGGGACTTTGCCCGGGCTAATCATGGAACACATACAGTTCATTTCATTTATTGTTAGCTTTGTAGTTGCGCGTGTTTTTTTTTTTTTTTTATCAAGGAGAACAAACTGATGTTTCGCTTGTCTTTTGTTTCTTAGAATTTTTCTCTAACATGTCATACGCCTATAAAATTGTACCATTGTTCATAATAAATTGCGTACTTTCTTCCATTAGTGTTCTCAGTTTTTTTTTATTGAATACTAACTCACGCTATACTTGTTGCTTTGAATTGCTGGCTACCATAATTGTCTTTGTGCAGGAGGTCCCTACACAGTGTTCGACTACGAGGCCACCTCGATGAATACAAAATCCCTGCAACGTTATCCAACTTCTCATAATAAAATTACGATTCTCAACTACAGCCTAGGCGATAGCGGTCTCATTTCCAGACACCTATTGTAGGCACAATGAAATATTGGAAGCGCAAACTAAATGGACGCAAAAAGGAGGAGACAAACAAGATCTGACTGCAAACCTTGATTTATTCACAGAAGATAATATACCAGAAAAAACACTGTATACTGTAGGCAGCCTGCAGTTGTCAGATCATAAAAAGCTTCCCCAGTGCTCGTTTCTTGACCACGTTTTCTTCTCCAGCCTTCTTCGAAACGAACGTTTTACCTTAGCAAGAGTTGCTGTCGACAAAGCAACGTCAGTAGTGACTGCGCCGCGCCTCGCCGCTTTCAA